CCACTAATTACTACGATCACAGAAATTTTTTTAACCATTTTATTGTTTTAAAACTTTTGCATTTGTTATCTTGTGTTTACTTCACAAAATCATTTGTTCTGCTCTACTATTACTTATTCAATCTTTTCATTACTTTTGTGCTTCTGCTCTCCCCCCTGAACAAATCAAACTGAGAAAAACCAAGTATAGTATAGTAGTAGCTAGCAATAATTGAAATAACAGTCTTCGCAGTAGTCTTTGTATTCTTTCGCTAATCAAACACTTGATTACAATTTTATTATCACTCTGTGTATAATAGTACGTGATAAACGTACAACAGTGCATTTGCATTTTTGTACAGAGTTGGTAGAAGTGAATGGAAGAGAAAGGAGTAAATGATAGCATGGAAAGATCTAAAATGGATGATGATTTGAGAAATAGTTTGAGATAAGAAGCGTTCGCTGCAAGAATTATTTAAAAGATACTATCTTTTCCGAAAAAATCATTCCAACCGATTGCTGCGATCATTATGGATTACATTAACCTTCATCATTGCCATCATTTCGTATGCCAACTATTAATTTACTACAAAACATTATTTAACTCTCATTTAATTGTAATAATATGTTGTAATTGTATCAGTATTGATTACATTAGTACTGCTTCTGATATATAGCAATTGTAAAAGTAGCATTGTAGTAAGTAACAGGAAAAGTAATTATTGTTGTAGTAATAGTAGCAGTGGGAAGGAGTATAGCAGTAGCTGTAAAGGTAACATGACAAGAGTGATGGCAATGTTATCACAAAGTAGAATCAATATAAATAGCTGTAGTGATTGCATGGTCGCTAATGAAGATAAAGCTGAACGTTTAGACAATATTTAGCGTTATGTTTTGGCAACACCACGGTGGCCAACACCAACAACTTGTATGTAATCAGCACATCCCGTTCCTCCTCTTCACTAATATCTTCATTCTTGCTTCTGCTAGCACTGAATGGTTCGGCGACTCACGTGCTCACATGAATCCTCCACAGTCACCACCATTCAACGATGTTATTTATGATGACTACGGTTTGCTACTTACTGTTCACGTACTTTTTAAATTTACTATACATTCTTTGTTTTTGCTCCATCAAGATTTTTTTTTAAATTCAATTTCTGCAATTATGCATTCATTTCAATAAAAATTACTCAGACTAGTATAAAATAAAAAATTATTTTATGCTATTTCTTACAAAAAACAATTTGTCTGCATTTCTGAAAACGTTCGTAAATATTCTTCCGCCATGGTTTGCTTATTTACAAGTGAGCAACTTTTCTGCATCAGCAATTTCTTAACTGAACAACCAGTCGGAGTACTTTTTTAAACTAAACCTGTCAATTTGTCAACTCAAAGTTTGTCATAAACTGAAATCAATTCACCAATTTGTGTAAAAATTTCAGAATGTCCAGATGGATTAGAAAGTGAAGTTATACCTGATTACGCATATTTCGGTCAAATGGTTGAAAACATGGATGTTTCAAGGTATGCAAAATGCTTAGATAACTGCATAAAGCATTCCAAATGTGTTGCAGTAAATTTCTTCGCTCCCATGATTTTCCAGGTAGTGTATAAAAATTCAAATCTAGGTGGGGTTCTGTTTCGCTTTTACAACCTTACAACAAAATATGATCTTACCTACACTTAAATATTGTGCTCTTTTGAATACTCTACAGATATTATCGCTGATTTAAGCATTTAAAGTACTGAAATCTCTTTTGTTAAGTATAGAAAACAGAAATTTCATACAGTTTAAAAAGTGCTGCATTCATTTCATTCTTCTTCTAAAATCTGAATCTATATCAATTTATGATCTATGAATTATTCAGATCAATCACAAATTTCACTGAGTTGCATGAAATCTTCACCTAATACTTTGCTATTATTGCACACAGTAAAAAGTTATTACACTAAAGTTACCTTTTACCATTTCCTTAAACATTTCTTCTGTTTATGAATGTTAAAAATCGCTCATTCCAAATAATTTATCCACGTTTAAATTCTAAAATTATAATATATTGCAGTTACAATACTTTTTTTCTGTAATTTATAATAATAAGCTTTTCTGACACAAGCTATGCTTTCTTATTTCAAGAAACTGATTGAATAATTATATTACCGATGTAAAATAATGTGCTTTGTATATTCGGCAAAAAAACTAATTTACTAATTTAATTTAAGGAAAATGGTTTCTGTGAACTGTTAAGTGAAACTCAATTAGACAATCCGAAATTAATGAAGCCATTTAAAAGAGCTGCTTATTTTGAAAATATTCAATGTCGAAAAGAAAATAGTATAATTAACAACGATTACAGTAAGTTAATACTATGAACTACTGTCAATCTTCATATTTATGAAAACGAAAAATTATTCGCGCATCCACTACACTACACATTTCAGTTGCTACTGTATTTTAATTTGTTTTAATTTTGGTTACAATTTTGAGTTGCGAGTTTATACATCGCTGAGATCAGGTTGTGCGAAGTGTTTAACAATCCTTTTCAGCAGAGTCATTCATCTACTTAAAAATACTACCATTTTTGCAAAGCCAAATTTCAACAAAATATTTAAAAGTGGCATCTCATAAAGAGAATTTCACGAACGAAATTAGAAGAGCATTGTTCACGCTTTCACTAATTATAGTCACTGCAATGTTTTTGAAATATGATTTAATCGAAAAATATGTGACTTAACTGAGGTACACACACGCTTAGACAAACCAAAACAAATACCAAACATTCCGATGAAATTTTTTTCTCTTATAAAAAATTTTCTCCTCTACAACCGATCTATACTAATAGAGATTCCTATTACTACAGAAGTAAAATGTAAACATGAAAGTTGTTTCAGTAATCAAAAATTATTCATTATCCTTATTTACTCATTTGTTTTCCGCTATTGAGACCTTAATGACTGATACATAATATTCATCAGTACTCACAATTAATATTAGTAGACATAAGACATTAAACAAGCAGTACATCTCAGTTATTCAATAAAGAATCTACTACCTAAATTCCTTCCTTATTTCTAAATACTGAGAAAATATGTTTTATCACAGTTCAAAAAATGATATAAGATAAACTAAATTCTTAATGAATGAAAATACATTTCGATAACCTATTCAACTGAAGATGAAAATACGTTCGAAAAGCCAAGAACTGATGCGAAACTTCTGAAGAAACTTCCAGAACAAGTAGACCAGTACAGTTTTCTACACCGACAATGACGCTAATATCAGTTGCAACAAGCTACTATATCAATATAAGAGGTGACGATTGTTTTATCACGATACTTGTACAAAAGGAAGAACTCTGAGCGCAAGATTTTTTAAATATTTTCAACTATTTAAAAAACTTTTTAGTAAATACTACCAGGAAATTCAAATAATCCTCGTAAAGCTCGACATCTCAAAGAACCGTATTGAATATTTTTTGCTACATTTTACGCTACCATATAATTATTGAACTTTGCTAAATAGGTTTTTTTTACATTATAAAAAGACATCGCTTTATCCTGTAAAGATTTGAATCATATAAAATATCCATATGAATTTGCAAACAGCAAATTATTTCTACCATTAGTTCCTTAAATTTTTACCTAATTGTGCAAAGCATGCTTTTATTGTTTTTCTCTTTCTATTTGCAACAATTATAAATCTTATTTTATTTAATTAGAGAGTATCACGAAATTAAATGTTTAACAAGAATGCTTTTCCAATTTAAATTAACTGAAAATAAAAATGTTTCAGATAATAGAGCTGAAAAAACGAAACGAAAAGAATATATTGTGTACATCCATTAGCTATATAAGTATGAGCTGCTAAACGCAACGATTGATGTATTATCAACAATAAAACATTTGAAACGAAGAACCTACGTTGTATTATATCGTTTCGAATTCTTCTTTCCTCTTTTTCCTCTGCTTTTCGTGATCGCTTTACTGACATCATCGCATCATCCAAAATCCAGTCTTCGTTTGTGCGATGTTTCGCTGCAGTCTGTAAATACTTATAATAACATTGTCACATTTACGATTGTAAACAACTGTGATTACCCAGCTAAATATATCAAATTCTGTTTGTATTTAACTGCAAAAACAAACCCTCAATTCATAAAGAGAATCAATCACTGAATGTTCAAATGAGTATTCCGACTAATGAATTTAAATAAAGGTGGAAAAGACTTACTCTAATTCTACCTTCTGTTTGACAATATTTTCAAATTATTTCATCAAATTTTTAAACAAACTGATCTCACAAATACTCTTGGAATACTTCTCTCACCAAAGCAGAATTAAAAACACGATCATCAGATACTGCTGTCTTTTCTTCCGCAACCATATCGCGAATACCAATGTCAGCGTGATGAATCGCATCTATTCTTCCGCTAATTTTTGAATCCTTTAATACAAGCTCTGTATACTTTACAAAACCAAATACTGAATTTTTAATTCCTTCAAAAAATTGATCAACTTGTCTACATTTTATACATTTAGAGTTGATTATCTTGAGAATCTACGAAAAACTTCCGCTGTATGTCTAAGATGGAAAATTACTACATCTGACAGAAATAAACATTTTTTGCTTGAATCAAAAAAAAAACACGTACCTTTTTTTCAGCTGTTCTCAAAGTCAGAGGTATTTGTGCATCACCCCTGTCAGTTCTATACAATATTCTATACCCTGGTGATGAATTTACTTTATTTTCTAATGCATGTAGTTCTTTTTCCAACTTTTCAACCAAATCCTAAAAAAATTTTTAGCCTAAAATCATAGTCCTCTTTTAGTAAATTAATTAAAATTAGTAAAAATTTCATCATGAGCAATATTATCGTCCCAAAATGCAGTGACATACTGTTTTCTTTTGTAATTTCGCCTTCAATATTTTAGCACCCAGTTTATTGCGCAGTTCTAATGTGGCTTTTTCGTCTATTGTTTCACCAGTATTCAAATTATTTTTCTCTACGATATTATTCCATGAAATAACGACAAAGATTATTAAGAATACCTTTACAACTTTAAGAATGATGACAAAAAAAAAGTGAAGTAGTGACATCTCAAATAATAAATTCAAAAAACTTGTGTAAGGAAATGCGTTCAAACTTCAAAAATGCAAATGTGATTTTAAGAGTTTTATATTGGTTTTCAAAAATATTGCAGCAAATGAGAATTTGCTTTTTACTTCCTTCTCTGAAATAAACATCATGGTTAAAGAAATAAAATTAAAACAGCATTAACAAACCATAAAATTCCTGCTGTGATTTTGAGCTCCCAACAATGAAGTCTTTCCCCGCACCATAGTGGCCCAACATTCGCGCATATTTTGAACTAATTGGTTTCGCTGGAACTACACGAGGATCTTCTTCTTCATCACTACTAAGTTTATCAGGTTTCAAGAAACGGGACATCTGGAAAATATACATTTGCACTTCATAATCATTTAACTACCTCTAAAATATTTTGCTTTACAGGACGAGGAATTATAAATACAGGAGTAATGAAAATAATAAATACACGCTTTAAAAATACGCATGGATTCAATCACTGAGAGAAAAAGATATTTGCTTTTTGCATATTTTCAAATACTTGTGATCTTATCTAAGCTTACAGCCGATATTCACTCGGAAAAATGATAGGTCACAAATTTCAAAACTTGCTACGAGAAGAAACCCAAACCCTTTCAAAATGCTTGCTTAATTTCGATACCAAAAAAAGCTACTTTTTTGGTAATGCAATTAAAAAAGCATACAAACTTACTTCATATATATATTAACTTTTTTAACTCGAATTCAAAACCTAAGGCGCAACAGTTCAATAGATTGCTATTAAACTGATAAATACATATCTTCTTAGAGGAGAAATATCGGTATATTAGTAAACTCATATTTCGGTACTAAATTAAATCAAGCTCATCTTTTAATGACCAATAAAGTTTACATCTATAGTCACAATGACGAGTCAAGAATGCATTACTGATAATAATCATTATACCGAATACAATTGTAATGTTTATGTCATAATGAAAATGATGATAGTGACAACTTCTACGAACACCAATATTACCGTCTTTTTTCCTTCTATCTCTCCACTATGATATCTATTTAATGTCCCGTTTGCACAGACGAATGCTACAGCCTGCTCAAAATAAACAACATTCCTTGCTGACAGATCACTTCAAAAACCAACCCAATGCGAATACAACATATGAACTGCTCCCTATTTGATATACACTGACGTACTTTGAGACTAGTAAAACGTTTCAGTCCACATCAGTATTATAATATAGTAAGCATCACTGCGGAATGGTTGCTGTCTAAATTGACTCCTCGACTACAAATCTCCAGGAATCTAAAATTATAAAAACCCCACATTCTTCCATTTTATTGCATTATAATCAGTCCAGAATAACTTCTTCCACATACTTATCCTGTATAATACATGTAATTTTCTTGCAACATGCAGTGAGCAAGAAAATTGCTAATTTCAACACGTAAAGTAAAAATGAAGACTTCTCAACTACACGTGTTTGCATTAAAATCAATATAATGGGTAGTCTGATAAACTTTGTTTATTAGCAGCAGTATCATTTTTATTCCCCAATTACAATGAAAATGAGTAAATTAAGCGAGAGAGAAGCAGAGCATATTTTTAGTTAATTATAATAATAGTTTCACCTTCCAAAATAGAAAATAAAAGCCAGCACTGGAAGATTAAATGATCATAACTTGTCATAGCTCAAGAACTAAACATCTATTGGATAATATTTGAATCACAAAAAGTTCATATTAATAATAATTATTATTAATAAAAACAGTGCTTCCTTATAGGAATGACTATGAACACATGAGAAACTATCACTTCTCCTTACTCGTACTAACAACTTAATCAATAAAATATGAGACAAAAAGAAAAGAAACTTTAAAATCAGTTTCCATATCCATCGTGAAAATCAACTTTTTGTGCTCAAGAATATTTTTTCCTTATAAAAATAACAAAGTAACTAACTTCAAAGTAAAAAAGTAGCTTTTTTAATCACTTTCTGAAATTACAAAACAACAATAATATATCAATCTATGCTGATTAACCACTGTTCATACTGACTACTCTCGATCAAATTCCTGTCTGAAAGAAAGCTCGATAAATCCAACAAAAAAAATTTGAAAACAAATGATTGCTGAACAGTGATTACAACTATATTAAAAGTATACACTAAAAAAATGCTTGAGATTAATATGGAGATTACAGCGTACAAAATGAAACCAAATGATTATAAAGATTTTTCAGCCATATGAGAAGAAATAACCAATGGCGAGGAACATTACATTTATTATTAATACACATGACGAACTTATAGTATAATTCACAAATATTGACTTAGAGCATAATATCACAGAAGCCAATGCGAAGAAAACTTCAGAAAGGAACATTTTTCACCCTCAACTTGCATTATTTTTAGTAAAACGATAGGTTATAGCTTTTTTCTTAGAACTTAAATTTTTGAGAACAGAATGATTAATTCTATTTAATTAGTTGATAAACTTCCAACAATTGTTGCGTAGATCCAAATGTACACTTAAATGTAAGAGTAAATGAACAGCAGAAGCATGCAATACTTAACTTTTACATTTACAAATATAAAATTACTCACTGACAAATGATACGCAGGATACAAAGTTCGAAATCTGAGAAGCACGCCAGCATAGTTATATTAGATGATAAATATGGGAATTTTCTTTGAATTCTTACCACTGCCTGATGAGAAAAGTTTCTGAAAAAAAAACAACACAACCAAATGGCGAAAATGAAAACCGCATCTCATAAGCCGTTATCCGAACAAAAATTAAAGACAAACATCTGCAAAGGCAAAGCTAAACATTCTTTTACACAGAGATACTTCTAAATATGTCTATATGACTTGTCTTTAAATTTGGACAATCAGTACATGTTTCCGCTATCTTCATTTTGAAAAATGATCAGCAAACCAATGAATCACATTGTAGATATGAGTTTATGCAGCTAAAAAAACTAATATAGAATAAGATCGATATCTATTTTAAAAGCACGAACATAAAAATCCTCTTGTCCCACAAGAGTGAAAAAAATAATGTTTAAAAAATGTGTCAAGCATTATGTATAAAATCTGAAAGATATCATTAATACAAACACATGAACAGATTAGTGCAATGCCCATAATAAAAATGCTTGACTGCTCTTTAATATGTGTTGCAGAAATTCATATATTTCAGAACTGCAAAAAACAGATAGTAAAAAAATACATCTTAAGAGAAAATGCTACTTATTAAAAGAGAAAAATGTTAATATACCGCTTTATAGAACTTGTGTTGTCGATTGAGCTCCTCTCAAGGGATTTTGCATAGCTGACGCCAACATTGTCATTGTTGTGCCTGCTGGTGAATAGTGCTGTCCTGGACGTATCGGTTTCGCTAGAAATATGACTAATACAGCATGATAAACATTAAAAAATCTTGTAAACACTAATTAGTTCGCATAATGAAATATAAATAATTAAATAACTAAAAAAGGACTAACCTATCTGAGGAGCTGTAAGACCTCTTCTAACGAGATTTCTTTGACGCACAGCTTCTTTGATCCTTTCAACCTCATGTTGATACCTGAAATAAAACACATATTATGAGATCATTCTTGATGTCAAATTAAAACAAAAAACGTTAAAAATATACACGACAGAATATAAGCAACTAACTTTTTCCGATCTCGCATGGCATTTTCTTTAGTTTCCTTCAATGCTGTTTCCAAACTTTTAACACGATCCATAGCAGCCCGTAGTCGTTTTTCCATTTTCGGCAACTCACAACGAAGATCGGCATTGTCACGCACCAACTGCATTTTAAAAAATGCTTAGAAAATTAAAACTAACTTTTCTTAAACCTAAACTTTCATTTTAGAAAATTTTAATTTTCTGGAACATAGGAAGCCACCTTTGATTTCTAACCTGTTTATGCACTTTTGTAAGTTGATCTAAATTATTTTCTAAGAAAGCAATCTTTTGCTTCTGAGCAGGTGATGACATATATTCGTCTTCATTCGGTTCCAAACCTGTAGGCGCTCGTTTTATTTTTTGCCCAATATCTTGAACAAACATCTTCCGCAAATTGTGTAATGTCTGCAGCTCTTTAGCAACTATTTCTTCCAATCCTATAAAAACAGAAGCTGATACAATTTTCAACTAACATCAGGAAGTACTATAAGTTTTTAAAAAGAATAAAATATTACCTTTCAAATCACTTTTCGCTTGCTCGCGTTTTTCGGACAAACCAGATAATTCTTTAATACGCCTTTCACGTTCCTGTTCATCTGTCTTCAGTTTTTCGTAGTCTGCTTGCAATTGATTTTTAGCAACTCGTAAATCTTGTATTGATGCCTAAAACAAACAAAAAAAAAAGAAAGTACATCGTACTGTACGAAGCGTACATATAACAGTGACTAATGTGAATACATGAACTAACAGTGAGCTCCTCAATCTTGTGACTTTTTTCAGCCACTTCATCTCGAAGTGCAGCAACTTGCTTCGTGTGCTGTTCTTTCACTTCATCACTTATCTGTACCGCAGCACCACCTGGAGCCGCTAATTTTTCGTTCAACATATCAACCTGTAACAAGGCAAACAGCAATTAAAATACCCTGATACTCAATACAAAATATGAACTCTAAAATAAGTCAATTCTTGAAAAATTTACTTGCTCTTCCAGTTGGCGTTTCACTTTTTCTTGTATGGTGATTGTTTCCTGAAGTGATTTATTTTTTGCCTCATTCTGCTGCAGTAATAATCGACAGTCAGCTAATTCCCTTTCGGTAGTCTCTAATCTTTGTGTAACATCACCAGAACCTGATTCTAAATTCGACATTTTCTGAAACGAAAATGATGAAATATGGATATTCCTTTATTTGTTCTTATAGTGACAATCACTTAATTCATAAAATTTCAAGTGAGAATAAAAGCAAACTATTGCCTGCAAAGTCGACTTAAAATCGGCACTCAATTTCGATATGCAGATTCTAGCATGAGCAAATAGTTCCTCATCATAAGGTTTATCTGTTCCATTTTCCATAGTGAACTGAAATAGAATTCATAGAATTCAAAATGTAAGCATAAGCAGAATGTTCGGAACCAATTTTATTTCAGACCTTAGCTGCATTGGCGTAGCTGCTGCCAACCTCGGATAAGTCTCTTAACATTGATTGCATCGCATCGGTAATACGTTTTTTTTGAGCAGCACAATTTTCACGCAAAGTTTCTAACTCCGCAGTCAATTCCACAATTTTCACATTTCTTCTCGATAACTCATCCTCAAATAATAGTCCAATTTTTCATAAATAAAAAAGAAACCAATGAATACCAAAAAATTTCGTCATTCTGTAGTCCAGAACGTTCTCTAACATTTTATACATAAAATTAAACTTACACCAAGCTGTTCGTTTTCTCTCGTCCTCTGTTCAGCCTCCTGCGTTTTCATATCATAATTCATAGCAAGCTCCTCAAGAGCAGTTAGTACTTCTTTTGATTCTTCTTTAGAAGCTTCATTTTCGCTCTGGATACGACTGACTTCTGCCTGAGCGTTCTCATAATCAAGCTTGATTTGCCTAATCAATTCCTCCTGAAAGCTCTTAGATAATATTATACCATACTTGAGTACAGCGTGCAATTTTCAATGTTCCTTTCGATAAGACACCAATAATGTGAAATTTTGGTCAATAAATAAACCTGCTCATTCATTTGCTGCTTGAGGCGTTCAGCTAACTGGGAATGTAGTGTTATTTCATCGTCTTTTTCATCCAACTGAAAAAGGAATACGTTAAATGACAATAAGGAAATATGCGAGAAAAAAAAAGACCTTAATTTTGAATCAAGGAAAAAAATTTAATATAGGACAAAGAATGATATCAAAAACTTTATAAGATGAAATAAAAAATTCTCAATCACTTGTTGATATAATGCAGCTCGTTCTTCTTCATACTTCTTTCGATCAGCATCAGTAATTGCACCAATTGCTGACGTTAATAATGGCACTGGCGCTACTGATAATGACCTATCCAGTGACCCAAATACTGACTCACTAACCGAAGGTGATAATGCTAGATCATATTTAAATATAAATTATATAAATGAAATTAGATAATATAATCAAATCAAAATGAAAACATTTTTGTTCAACATCAATTGTATCTGTAATTCCATTAAATATGAGACGAAATAGATTAATAACATGCAATTCTTTACATTCAATTCCAGGAGGAAGTTGTAGATTTGCAGCAGAACTCTCAAGCAAGTTAACCCATTCTGTTTCAGGAACCTTCTCTCCTTTTCTCCAACGACTCAGTTCTCCCTCTAATGCTACCAACTGTTGTTTCAATCTGCCCACCTACAGCAATCAGATGCTACAGAAAGCTGCTCAAAGCACTAACGAAATACTCTGACCATAATATTAAACAAAGTAAAATCAGGTTTCCAAAATTTAATACATACATTTCCAAAAAAAAAAAAATTGAAATAAATTTATTACGACACTTTTGAATACGAACTCATGTTCAGAACGATTTCCTTCCTTATTCAAAAAAGTACCTTATCCTTCTCACGTTCATAACGTCGTTTCCATTCTTCAGCTGTTAATTCCTCATTAACCACAACAACATTTTTGATTGTTTTAGCTCGCTGTCCGAACATTAAAGTACTTTTTGTTTCTGCTTCATTGACAGATGCCGGAGAACAACAAATAACGATTGTCGTCCTTGAATTACCACCTAACGATTCTTGTAAAATTCTAGTCAGTTTGCTGTCTCGATAAGGAACATGTCCTTTCTGAAGAGAATAATCATTGATAGTATTTGATATCAAAAAGCTTAGAGGAATACTTTTGAAATATAGAGAGAAAACATAAGCTATAGCATACCGTTCCTTCAGCCAATGCAGCTATTACATTTCCAAGCGCCGAAAGAGATTTATTAATATTTTTTGCTTCTTCTAATACAGTACCTTCTGCGCCTGTCTTGCTTACCTAAAACATTGATAATACTAATACATTATGGTTCTACAGCAATCATAAATGGATAATATAAAATATTACTTTTTCACTTCCAGCTAGATCAACAAGATATAATTTCCCAGTTAACTTCTTTTGTGTGGCTGTATTCTCTTGTTTTACTTGTATCAAAAACACACTATGGCTCCTTGAACTATGTTCGTTCATATCTGTAAACATTTTTAAAATCATTTAAAAAAAGCCGTGGTGAATACAAGTGGAATTCATTTGCAAATATAATTATTGTTTGATAAATGAACTTTATCACCAATCGCATTTGTTAATTAATCTTGCAAAAAAACAATCAAACTAGAAAAAGAAAGAGGATAATACATACTTGTAACAGCCACATGTCTATTATTTTTTCCTTCATCTATGCAAGCCATTACTTCTTCTGGGCTAGAAACAAATCGCTCTGTTGCACCTTTCACATAAGGTACTCGATTTTTATCTTCGTGGATTGCAAGGTTCATTTTCGTTACTAAACACTTGCTATTTATTACATATGTCATGATAATTGATTAGAAAACCCTTATATATTTTACCTTCCAGTTTCGATTCCATGTAAGAAAATTTCTGCAAAGTATATATTTTAAACTTACCATCTAACAAATCACGAATCTTTTCATTGTAAATTTCAAAATATGAAACTTTAATATGGAATTCGAGGTCAACATCCATGTTATAAATGTGATTGAATATATCTTGCACAATGCGTGGTATAATGCCTTGCTTCTCTGGTTCACCAAATACGCCCTGAAATAAAAATTTATTTCACAACGAACTCATTTCTTTACTCTTTGTCTCGAAATTGAAAAAGCTGTTTTAAACAATGATTTAATGACAGAAAATTTTTGGCAAAAACAAGTTTTCATATTATGATACATTTTTCATAGCCGTGAAAATATGAGAATGAATATTTCCAAAAAACAAATAAAAGTTATAGTTTGAATAATTGCCTCCATGGTATGAGTTTTTCCAGATGATGTCTGTCCATAAGCAAAAACAGTCCCATTGTATCCAGAGAGAACATCCTGTACAATATGGTAAGCTGCACCCATGTATACATCTTCCTGGGTTGAAGTTGGCTTGAACACTTTATCAAACACATAAACTTTACCCTGAATAATAAAATATTTTTCACAATCGTACGTAATCTGCCAAAAAGTAACCAAACTGTTGAAATTGAAATTAATCTTGGAAAGTATTTCCGATTATTAAATTAATAATTATATTTTAATAAAAGTATAATAGTGTATGTGATATCTGAGATGGTACTGATATTAAAACCATATCAAAAGAAACTAGACAAGAAAACAAGGATAAAAGTATTAAAAAATTACATAAATTTGAGAGAAAAGAGAGAAATGTTCAGTACCGCAACTGAGATCGCTTCTTGAGAATCAGATGGGAATTTAGGTACAAACTTCGACTCCCCTTTCTCTTCCATGCTATTAAGCGGTCGAATGCGACAAAAAACCTGAGGAAACAATTCTTTTCTGAATCACTCAGCAAGAAAAAGCATTAAAATTATTGAAACAGTGGTTATGAACTTGAAGAGACATATACTATACTTACACCATAAATCTAACCTGTATGCCGCATTCTGCAGGATTTGGCACTGGGTTGGCCATGACTGAGACAATAGTCCGTATGGCTTTGGCCAAACTATAAAAAAATTGGCTGAAAAACACAGGAAAATGTCTAGATATAAAATTAAGTCGTCTAATTAATGGCTTAAAATATGCAAAAGTAGCGAGAAATGAGTCATGAGAGCAGTACATTACTATGAGAACAAAATTTTCTGCTCACAAAAAATAACTAAACAAGTAAATAATGTAGTGCAATGAGATGTACATAGATGACGAGTAATGTGTATTACACTTTCTCTGCCCTGACTGATTCCACAGCAGTCAAAACAAGTCACACTTAACACAACTGTAAATTTGTTTCCGTCACTCAACTGTCAATACCGATTTCGGCATTCGCAACAAATAATCAAGTCAAATAAGTAATGAAGCTCTACTGCTACCAAGTAGAGTTTGGCAGACAATGGGTGGATGAACACATAGATGAGTCACAAGTGCTAAGAAGAAGCAATCATTTTAGCCTCAGTGCTCGCAATTTGGCTTGCTCCAAAAGACAATCAATCCACGGAGGGTACAGCAGAGCCGTGCTAACTGCATATACTTAAGCTGCTGCTGGCATGCCAATTAAGTAAACGACCCACAACGCGAAGGACTGCCCGCCCTTGTTTCGGCTGTGAAATGAGACTGAAACTGTACAAGCCTACCTCAAGGAAAAGACAAATTCTACTCGTTATGCGGGCTTAGCTTAGGCTTAGTTTTCGGAGACATAAATGTGCCAGGTCAAATATGAACAGTTAGCATCTTCAGTCCACAATAATGACTAATTCAAAGAGAAGACAAGAAATGAATGGAGCAAGCAGCACCTCCAGCGCTTCTCCTTCCTCGATTCCACCCGTCTCACTTAACTATGACCGAATTATTGCCATCAAGCAACTAATAACAATTGCAGATGGCCACACAATAGATGACAAGTATTCTTCACTGAAATGAACTAATGCTCTTCAGGACTCGCTGTATCGGTTTGGCATGTGCAGTTGTGACGTCTGGCTCATCTACTTTTATTACGATAATATATTGAAAGGATAACATGAAATAGTCAATTATGCCTCCTCTTAGCCACCACAAATAATCAGGAATCTCTCTATTTAACTTGCAAAAATATGCGTATGAGAAAGTAAGCTTGTTCAGGAGTTATCTCTTTCATAATGCGAATGTAGCAACAGAGAAATTAATGCATCAAGCACACACTCTGCCCCAAGCATAGACACACACGCACGCACACATACGCATGTAGCCCCTACATCTCCTTGTTGCGCATGTATGTTTCTCAAATATGCGAGATAATGGACTTTCATGGGTCACAGATAGAAACTTTGCCTCTACCACTTATCCCTTCCTCTCCAGTTATTGTATACTCAAGGACATTATGCAGACGTGGACACAGACACACGTAAAACGCATAAACACTGCATCACTCACAACAATGTCTCCGTCAATGGTTGAATTATAACGTCACTAAAGTTGCCAACTTACTGCCGAATACAATTGAGAATTGAACGAAAGTACCACTATAAACTTACCAAGACCTCGCACACGCGAATACTTTACTTTTGATTTAAATTAAATAAACGCCACATTCAGCTCCAACCAAACAAACAGAGTTGCTGGTTAACTTACTTGCACAAATAAACATTTAAGACGTGTTCTAAAAGTCGCATACACATCCTTTTACACCACCAAAATACACATCAATTTCGAGGATTTAAAAAACTTTTTTTATCCTTATCTTAACCCTTAATACGATTACTTTTTAATGGTCATCTTATTGTTCAACAACCCTTCTTTCTAATAATACATTGTTCAAAATACAAAATGTTACCGAAACCAAAATTACTGATACAGAAAATATTACAAATATTTATTCATGTTTCCAAAAAACACAGAAAAGTACACCATCAAAATTTACATAAAATTTAAATTGCAGTGAACATTCCACAAGGTGTCAAATAAAAAAACATCTAATTATCCTCTAAATAGAAACAAAATGATCGTGAGATTTTCTGCAATCAAAGTTTTTCTTTGCACCCACAACTCATAGGTGTTTTAACAGGATTATTGAAGTAACCGCTTTAAGAACTGTATAAACTAGACAGTACTGCTGCAACAAATTTAACGCAAAGTTAGTCATTTTGAATCTGAATTACTTATAACACTGTTCCGATTCAATTAATATTAGATAAAAGTGTATGCCTAGGTAAATTTATTGATATATTTCACTCAAGGCCTTTTCATAAATATACGCACCATTTGTGTGGGCATTCCTGGGTGAGCAAGATAAACAATACAGTTATATTTACTCACACCAGGTAACAATAAATTACCTTTGTGATGAGTAATCACGTGTAGGTAATAATCCGTCATGTCCCGAAATGTTCGAACACAATATGCACACTGCTAAAAATGTGTTCGACAATCATTCTTATGTGCTTTCGTTACAGTAATTTTTTATACTTTTGTTACCCTCGTTTTTGCTTTCAATTTATTTATACGATAGAAGAAAAATATAAGCATTTAAAATATTCTTATTTACCAATACGTCATTACCCTAATACACTTTTTTCTTCATATGTACTTTTAAGCACAAATCGCAGCTATAAATTTGCATTTAAAAAGGTTATGAAATATAAAAAATACGATACCTGCCTTGGCTCAATCTTTACCTTTTCCTTCCATTGTCCGTCAATATAATCTATCCTTTCAAGGTTTATGATGGAAGTTTTGTGCACTCGAACTACTGCAAAACAACGACTTTGTAGACTGATAACTACGGAAGTAATCACAGTGCAATAATGAAACTATGCATCAAGGTCGTAAATACCAATATACCAAGATACGCAGTCTCATGAATTGTTTGTTTCCAGAAGTATCAAGAGAATAACTCAGAATCATTAATGAAAAAAACAAGAAATCAAACCTAATAAAGCTAAACTGTAATTTGAAAACTCTCAGTAACAGAAGTTAGCATTATTATAACTCGAAGAAAAAATAAAAACAAATAAACATCCCATGTTCAACCATATCTGTCCCTTGACTACTTCGATAATCACAGATAAGGCATTTCTGAACGGTAGTGGAAGTAGGAGGAGCAGTCCCAATTTGCCTTGTGTTTTGTAATAATGATGCTGTCAAAGCTGATGTTGATGCAACAGTCATTTTTGATATTGCTTCTGTTGATGTTGTAAAAGTTGCTTCCAACTCATCAGTTTTCGATGGTTGCGAAGGTTTACCAGAATCATTCGCTTTTCCCTCTTAAACATAAGCCAAGTTGAGTACAAATTTACTATTCATAATTTTCATACTTGAACAAAATTATATACACAATAAAACTTCAACCTATCGCATGTAAATAATAAGACAATGCAATATATTGTTTTGAAATGAGTTACTTTGTTATTTTTGCATGGAAAAAAATATTTTTTATTGCATTGTTTTACTATTTCGATAGGAGGTGATTCAGTCAAAATCAGTTTGCGAAAAATAAAATATCTCACCAGTGATGTCAACCTTTGTATCGGCTTGCGACGCATTAATAACCGAAGTAATAGTGTCATTAACATTATCTAGAGCTTTGTTAACCACTGAAACTCTGGAATCACTGTGAGAAATTTTCCTTTGCTTTGAGTAAGGTACTTTATAGTAACTACTATCAGTACTACCCGAGATATCTGCTATTTTTCGCTTGGGCCCTTTTTTATTCACCGAATGAGGAACTGCTTTTCGGATCGGTGCCAATGATTTTGTCGTTTGCGACTTGGAGTTAATTTCCTGCGATGAAGATAGATGTTGACCTTCTTCCTTAGTCTATAACAATTATTCTCAATGAATCCGTGTACTATTTATTTCTAATGGCCAAACTATTAGATGAGTTACACAGAAAAGAACGGAAAATAATGAGACATTATGATCAAAAATATTCTTCAACACACGTTAACCTTATTCGACGATGCTTCGAGTTTATCAAATTCATACAACTGGTAGCACAACGACACCGCCTGATGAACCAACACGTGTTCGTCAAAAAGATTCTTGGCACAGAAAGTAGCTCCGCACTCATAGCAGAGAAAGAAGTTTTCCATATTTTGGCAGAACACTCATCTGTATAAACACTAAAAATGGTATATTTGTTCCTCACTGAAGAATTACTTGGGAAAGTAAAAGAAACCATTCGAATCGTAGCTGAACTGAAAACTACCAAAAGACATTGTTAAAATTCATGCAACTTAAAACTTATTGCATTTATGTGCTCAATTCTTTTTCCTTTTTTTCTTAGATAAAAACTACACTTCGCACTTTTTCGCCGTCCTTTCTTTTTCTCTTGCGCTCTTCTTTTCACGCATCCATTCACTCCATATTTTTTCATTAAGCACACAGACGGTTTGGGAACAAGTTGCATAAAAATAATAAGGCGACAACAATTTGCTAATTCATTTATTATGAGGAATTAGCTGTATCAGTAACATGTGGTACATGTGGTATGATAAGTAGCTGAGTTTTCTGCTGCAACATCTCAAAACTGATCAATTACTAACTTTTCACTTCAAGTATTAACGGGTTATTTAGTCGTGTTATTTTTAGAGTAATAATTTTTGATTACTTTCGCATTACAAAAATTATATATAATTACGGATGGTGGTCAGTTGATTCAATCAAAGAAAAGGGAAGGTGATGCAGTAAATTAAAAGACAAAAATGTTATCTCTTGAGGAAGTTACCCTTGACCCTCGTCACAGAATGGCAAAAAAAAGACTTTCAACCCTCATCAGCTATGTCATTCAGTCAGGAATGTAGCCAAGCAGTACAGCTGTGAAAGTAAAAATAGAAGTAAATGCATTTAAAGACAGTTCTCTTCTGTGAGTTGGTAATAGGAAGTAGAATTTTAAAAGGATTTGTAAACTGGAAAAACTATAGTAACATTGTTAGAGTTGACCAGTGTTCAGAAAAAATATGTTTCGAATTGATTCATTGTAATTACTTTTCATAGTTTATAGTTTGAGCAAACACTGCTGTGCTGTAGAACATAACACGTGAAACTTTTCTCGTTCTAGACGGTATTTGATTGCTGTATAGAAAAATAAAGTGCCCCAGTAATCTAATGTCACGTATGGTTTAGAATTAGAAGATATTTGAAGTAATTGCATTTCCTGTGCTTATTTCAGTCCTAAACATTTTTTCTAGTTATTCAAAAACGCTTTAAGATCTTATACTCCCACTAATTCTTCCTTTGCTATATTTTGTAAACTTTAAGATGGCAAATCGAATCAAAACACCAACAAATGTCAAGTTACTCACCAATGTAGCTGTAGTTCGAATGAAAAAATGTGGGAAACGGTTTGAAATTGCTTGCTACAAAAACAAAGTGATTAATTGGAGAAATAAAACGTAGGTAAACTGCAATTCTTAACTAATTACCTAAATTTTTTTCTACTTTTTCAACATTTTTTGATATGTCTGTCTTTTGGAGCAATGAATAGACGTTACGGAAAATGTTTGTATGAAATATTCAGTCAAAAGGTTTGATAGAATTTTTTTACAGAGAGAAAGATATCGACGAGGTTTTACAGACCCAGTCAGTATTCATCAATGTTTCGAAAGGGCAGTTGGCAAAACGTGAAGAGCTTCATGCTGCATTCGGTACAGACGATCAACTAGAAATTTGCAAAATAGTTAGTCTTATTAAAAGTTCTTTGTGATTTTTGATGTATCAAAAAACACTCTATGCATTACTCGTATGCGAGTGCAGCAACATTATTTGTATGCTATGAGACTGTCATAAAATTCATGATCAAAATTATTTTGTCAGCTACAAAATAATTTCGCAGACTTTAGTTGTATGATCCACTGGTTGTAAAAGCTATGAAAATAACTCGCATTCCCCAAATTTAATGGCCTTGATTATGAATTTTATGACAGTATCATAGCATACGAGTAATGTTGCTGCACTCGCATACTTTACCATAAAAGAATTTGTTTATTCTCTTTAGAATTTTAAGATATGAACGTATAGTCTTCCGAAAATGTTTGTTTTGAAAATATTATCTTACCTTTTGAAACATGATATTATCTAGAGGCATAAAATAATTTGCCTTCTCATACTTTTTACAAGTCGTTATTTGTTTCATCAGTTTTTAGTTTCATAGTTTTCAATCTTTATTTCTATGATTTTTAGTGTTATACAGCTCATTGCTCTTCAAGAAGTTGTTAATTTATTCCAGATCCTCGAGAAAGGAGATCTTCAAGTTTCAGAAAAAGAGCGGCAGGTACAATCTGAATCATCTTTCAAAGAAGTTGCCAACTTAATAGCAAATATGTGCGTCAATCCGGAAACCAAACGTCCCTATTCAAGCAGTGTTATTGAAAATTCTTTACATGAATCTCATTTCAGCCTTAAACCCAATCGTTCAGCAAAACAGCAAGTAATTTACTTTGATAGATTTTTTTCAAAGGAATCAGTGCAACATTTCTACTTTTCATATGCTTATAAATTATGAGTTTTGCTTCTTTATTATAGGCTTTGGAAATAATTCCTCAATTACGTGAAAAAATGAAAATTGATCGAGCTGCAATGCGACTTCGAGTGTCTGTTGAAGCGAAGAAAGCAAAATACTTACATGATCGACTGAAAGTTATGTTCAGAAATATTGAAGTTGAAGATTGGGAACAGGGGAAATTAGAGATGGTGAGTTTTATTTTTGCTTGTTGGAAAAACCAATTCAGTTCGTAGTTGCCCGAACACCGTCAATCATTATAGTTGTATATTGTCTATGTTATAAGTTAATAATTTGAACATATTTCACAGGTTGGATTAATAGATCCAGGTATGTATCGGCCAATTGAAGAACTGCTTCAAAAAGAAGCGAGAAAGTCTAGCAATTTAGAGTTACTGACATTAAAAGTTATTGGTGAAGGTGACATTGAAATTTCATAATTTGTTCTTATTTATTAATTACTCCCAGTAAATATACATAATTTGGTGCTGCTTTGGTTTTTTTTATTGTGTATTTGTGCTGGACTAGCAGTCTGATGTAAACTCAAGGCTTCACTGTCAAGGTATTTGCAAGTTTTTTTACACTTCTTCCCGTAAATGATATTTGTTTATTTTGTTTTCCCAGTACTGAAATATTTTACTTGCAAATTAAAGAAAAAATTTGGTCATTTGTCATGAGAAAGTAAGTCGATAATACAGTTCAGTAAATTTGCTCAATTATTGCAAGTGTGATCTGTGAATTTGGTTTGATGTCTTCGCGGAAATCGTTTGCAAAAATCAGTCATGTTTTGCAGCTTGAACAATATTAAATGCGGATGTAATTGTAGACCTGACATGAATTAGTTACTAGATGCAGTCTACATTGTTTATGTTGACAACTATCAAACTAAGCCCTGAACTGTGACCAATGGGGATGTTCTGCTTATTTATTCTTGTCATGAGAACTTGAAAATTTCCTTGGGATAGAAGTTTGTAACTTGTAAATAAACACAAAACTAGAAAAATAAGCAACTAATCATCGTCAGCATTTTGTTTACATAGGATTCAAAATTTAAAGAAAATACCGGATCTAGTTTGAGATGTGTTTCTTGTTTTCATCTCTACTGACCTTGTCCTGTAACTGATTAAATTCTTTAAAGGGTATTGTGTCTTGGGTATATCAGCTGTTTTTAAATACTTGTGATAAAATATTAATTGAATGCTGGTTGCTGCATACTTGGTCTAATGGTAATTATGTTAGCAATAAGTCAAATGGGAATGCAAACAAAATTAGATTGAAATTGATGGGAAAAAAGCTGACGAAACACGATTTTAATGTAAATATTTAAGACCACCTTGAGGTGGTATTTACAAAGCAAGAAATGGGCCTAACACTTGCAGTACAAGTGGCTACCAGTAGTGATTTATTCTTGTTTTGCCATCTTCCTTTTGGGAGTACTGATAAACTTGGTACACAGCATTAGAAATTAATTTTTCCTCACATTTTGTGCATTAAGCCTTCATTAAAATAATTCTTATTAATAATTAGTGTCGTGAATATGAAGTAATAGTAAAGATAGTTATATATGTTAATATGAACAGTGGCAGTCAGAAATTCAAATGCATCATCAACCTTCTCCAACTCTTTCTCAGATTCAAATTTTTCAGTCTCTTCGGCAAGAGATAAATTTCGTTTACATTTGCGACTCGCTAAATTAGTATGCCCGAATTTTTATAAGCCAATCCCTCAAGTAGTATCAGTCTTCTATACTGAACATTTTATGCTCTCAAGTTTAGCTTTTAAATTTCAGTATTTATTAATAAAAGATAAGCATTTTAATGGGAATTATTTTGTGCATTCTCTGACATCATCACTACAAATAGTAGAAAATGATTTTTGATGTGAAGAAATGAAATATTTCTGATAGAACGCCGTCACAGCGTTCCTTCGTAGGATAAATTTTGTTTACATTCTGAGTTGTTTCTTCACTGTGGGCATTTAATTGCGGGACAGTTCGAGTATTCAGAAAAAACACGTGAAAAGTCAAATTCCTATTCAATACTTTGCTTACGTGAGCATGAACAAACCGATGACGAAGAACTGATATCGCAAACTTTGTTCTACTTGTACGGTTTTTTATTTTACTTCAGCGAAATTGAGAAATGTTTGGGCTCGAATGCATGAAATTGGCACTTTTTTCTATTGGCCTAGTAAAGCTTTACAGTTGTACAGCAGTACAAAATACATCGACTGAGGTAAATCATTCACTTATGATGCAATTATTCTTTTTTCAAACTTATCACTATAATTCTGCAGCTTTGCTCAGAACTCAAATTAGCCTTTCAACGCGAACTGAGTTTCATTAATAAATGTCGCCAGTGTATAGTTAGCGACATTTGAGTCGAATAATTGACTAGCTGAGTTGTCTCAAAAAGAAATCTCACTTTTTGATAACAAATTACTGAAGTTTGTACTACATTTACTATGAAATATTATCATTACTGTGATGATTTTAATTATAATACAACTAATCACAATAGCAATTTACTTAGGCCACAAGTAATCATAAGGGGAATTCTGGAACGCTATCAATAAATCGAATATTATCCAAAGTCACAAGCAGGAATCATCAGCAGTTTGTGTTTAGCAGTAAATCGTTACAGCAAAATATTACTGAAAGTGGTTCCTGGTTTAGAACTATTCTTAATATTCCACTGAAAAAAATTCCGATTCTGGGGTTGAATTCACCTGCATTAAATCGAGATTAGTTCATTAAAATTTTTTCATAGGGAATAAATTTAGTTTATCTTTATTGCATGCATAATTTATTTACTATTCCATTACTACCATATTTTTCTTATTCATAATCAATATTCGTTCACTAATCACTAATCAAAGGCAATTATAGATTCTCCAGAGCCGTCTTCTGGATCACAAAGCATTCGTTTGTACAGTATGCGCTTCTGTCCATATGCAGAAAGAGCTGTGATTTATTTGGCTAAAAAAAGATTACCGTAAGCAATAGCTGAAATTAATAATAATAATAAACAATAATAATAATAAATAATAATAA